GGCATTAAAACATTGGAAATTATTTATTATTTGAAATTGTTTATTATTAAAATTATTAATGTTAAAAAATTACTATATTTAATGATAACATTTAATATTAAGATATTATACTAATATTAAACACTTAAAACAAAACTATTTATTACTATTTATTTTAATATTTTAAAATATTTAAAATAGTATTATTGTTCATAAAATATTATTTCTATTAATATAATAGTGTTAAAATATAAATTTTTATTATTAAAATATTTAAAATATTTATACTATTAAAATAATATACATATATTTGTCAATAAAATATAAAAATAATATATATTAAATTTAAAAATATTAAGAAATGATTAAAAATATTCATATTATTAAAATAATATTATTATACTAAATAACATTAATCATTAAAATAATGAAATATTATTTACTATATTATTATTTATTATTAAAATTAGAATATAATACTATTTATTGTTGAATATTAAAACGTTTAAATTTAAAATATTAGAAGACTTTTGATATTAATATTTTAATTTTTAATTAAAATTAAATGAAAATATTTTTATTAATATAATATTATGGGTTAAATCAAATTAAGTTTGAACTTAAATAATTATGTTCAAAGCCCGACTTGAGTAAAACAATAAAAATTTTTAAAATTAAAATATTAACTTTTAATATCAATATTTAATTAAAATTAAATAAAATATTTAATATAATAATATTTTAGATCATGTCAAATTAATCCTGAGCTTAAAAAATTATGTTCGAGGTCCAACTTATATAAAACTATACTTATGAGCTTAATAAGTACCCTTATTCATAATAGCTCTATTCTAAAAACTATCTTTTGTAATTAAATAATAATAATTTTTTTATTGACTAGGAAGTTAATATTCCATTGATCAACTAATTTTTTATCAAATAAATACCGAACAATATAAAAATTATTTTATAAAATTTATTTTTTATAAAACAATCGGAGCTTAAATAAGAACTCTCAAAACAAAAACTTACTTGTATTTACATACATTTTCATCAAAGAAAGAATACATATTTTTTGAAATATGAATATTTCTAAAGTTAAAATTAGGACTAGTGCAGTATTGAGGATGAAAGTAGCAATTAAAAACTATTTTTTTTTTTTCTTTTAACTCATCTTTAATGCTAATCAGCAAATAAAGTTACTTTTCATTTGAAAACCTATGTATAAAAGTTCTTAATGAAGTGTTTTTGGGGCCAAGCTCAATTTTATGAATAAAATGACTTTATTATCTTCATATCTCTAAAGTATTATTATTTTATGCTTATTTTTTTACGTTTCAATTTACCATAACATTTTTCACAATAATTCTAAATACTTAAAATTATTAAATTACATTTTTCATCATACTTTTAAACATTTTTTTTAATTCAGACTTTTTGTTTTTATGGTCAAACTCAATTTTGTGAATAAAATAATTTTATTATCTTTAAGTTTCTAAATTATTATTATTTTATACTTTTTTTAACCTTTCAATTCACTACAATACTTTTCCATAATTATTCTAAACATTTAAAATTCTTAAATCATAATTTTTTTAATCTTACTTTTAAACATATTTTTAGGGTAAATTACATAAATATACCATTTGATTAAATACGATTTGAGTTTGTCCCTTGAGGTTTAAAATAAGACACATAACCACCCCGAGATGTTTATCTGTGTCATTCCATTAGTATTCCTTAAAAATTGTTTGTCGTCAAATGACATGAATACCCTTATTGCAACAAAACCTATGACTTATTGTCAAAGCATTTTGTAAGGCTGGGAAACAAGAAACCAAAACTTGTTAACTAGAATCAAATCATTTCATTTGAAAGTGATCAAAGCTTTTCATTCAAGAATCAAACCAAAGAAGCTTTCAATTCTAATTAGAAGGACCTTTCAATAAAGGCCATGAAAGGTCATTAATGTTTCTTAAGTACAACAGAGACGGCGATCTTTTGTTTTTATGCGCTAAAGACCATACTCCTACCATTTCGTTTGTCAACACGGCAAGCCACTTGGCACTTACCATGGCCATAACGATGCCATTTGGTCTTGCAATGTCTCAAAGTAATTCCATTTTATTGTCTTTTATTTATTTTATCAAAGTTTTTTTAACTTTTAAATTAAAATATCAATTTTTTAAAAAAAATTTAATGGTTTATCGAGGCTTATTAAGGGAAGTGCTAATCAAACAGTGAAGCTATGAATGTTCATATGTGAGATCAATTGTATACTTTAAATATCAGTTTGCCAGTGAGGTTGGTGGATTTTGTTGTAGAGGATAAGCTTGTTGTGAATACAACAAATCCTTTCATGGAATTGACTTATCCTATTCATGTTAAACACATTACTAAAGACCCAATCAAATGTAAGCTTAAAGTTTTGATCTTTCTTTTCTTTAATGTGTGCTTTTTAAATGATTATTGCTCTAATTTGTTAATTTGGGTTCTCGTTTTTTGGGTGGAAATTTTGAATTTTTTTGTTGGAATTAGATTATGCCTCATTTAAATTGTTTTCATAAAAATGTTTGAAAAAAAAGTGCACATTAATTGGGTTATGGGTTTAAGACCCCTTAATAACCCCTCAATAGGACTATCATTAGTGTTGGAGAAGATGTTGTAATTCATATTTGGGATTCTAAGGTCAATTGTTGTTTGATGTTGATAATTTTCATTTTTTGGGAAAAATGGGAGCTTGGGAAGAGTTTTATCTTTTGGATTGAATTTTCCTATCTATCTTGCAGATTGGAAAACTACTTAAGGAGTTTGGCAAGGAATTTGGCCACAAAAAAACTATAACATCACTTGCAAAATCTTTAGGTGGTTCACACTCCCTTGTTGGTTCACACTTTATATTGTTCACACTTCATAAAAAGATTTTGAAGAATTCATGCTTCCACACTAATTTTTCTTTCAAAAGTTTGAATATGAGAAATAGTAAACAAATAAAAAAAATAAGGAAAGAGCTTGGGGTTTATATGACTTAGACGTTAACGGCATTAGTGAATCGTAACAAACAATATGGAAGAACATCTCAGGGTAATTATATGTTACATTTTAAATCTTAGAAGACAAATTCAAATTGCGTTTAATCACATAGTATATTTATGTAATTTATCATATTTTTTAATCCAAACTTTTAAAGTAACTTTACTAAACTAGGCGTTATTCATAAAAGAAAAAAAAAAACATATACATTTTTAACAAAAGAAAACTTCTTTTCCAATGATCGAATTGTGGAATATGACTACAATTATATTCACTCACGCAATGCACCTTCACATAAGAAGTAAAATATGTTCTTAATAATCAAATGAATGATAAAAATTTTTGCTAAAAAAAACCATAAAAAGTTAATTAGTTAATACCTTTTTCTTTTTCTCCATCAAATGCCAAAAATGAATTAACATATAAACCATTGTTGACTTAGTTTTAGTTTGAATTTTACTATAGATATAGTACGGTGTTATTGAGTTTATCGTACTATCAATTAAATGTAAATATCAATTCTAGTAGATTCATTCAGTATAAGTTTTTTACTAAAATTTTTTTAATCATAACTACAATAATTTTTTAATCACAATTATAAAAATTATTATTATTATTTTTAATCTTATAGAATCCAACTAGATTATAACCCGTGCGATACACTAAATAATTTTATTTATTTAATATAAATATATATATACAAATTAGTTTATTTTTAAAATTATATTCAAATCTTTAAAACTCATAATATATATAAAATTTATATATATTAACTTGTCACTAAAAAATAAATTTTCTGAAAATAGCAAAAAAAATATGTCTTTCCTTTGGATATTTTTGTTTACAATAATAATTATGCATTTGTAAAATTATATCAAATAAAAAGTAAATTATGTATTTTTTTAAAAAATATATATTATTTGAATGATAAATTAAATAATAAAAAAAGTATTAACACACTTTCTCTTTAGTAATCTTGAAAAAAATTATTTTTCATAAGAATAAAACTGTAATAACAATAAAACATATCTTAGAAAAAATTTATAAACACAAAAATTACAATAGTAATAAAATATACCTTAAAAAAAGTTTCTAAAAGAAATTGAAAAATCGATATATAACACGTTACATTTTTAATCTTAAATTTATAAAAGAATTTTTTAGTGACAATTAGGATTAAATAAATAATTTTTAAAATTTAAAATGAATATAATATGTGATCAAGATAATATTAAATTTTTTATATTTATTTGAAATATAAATTTGATAATTAGAGTTCAAATGGATATAATCATTTTGATAATCTTATTATTTAAAGATTTAAGATGAAAATTTTTTGAATTTTCAAAATCTTACATAAATTTACTTAATTTTTTAATGTCTTATGTAAAATTTTTAAAAAGCTAATTTTTTAAATCAAAATTTTTAAATTAAGATAAAAAAGATTATTGAAAGGTTTAGATAAACTTAATCTTTGTAATCTTTAAACATGTTTGAAAGATTTTGATAATTCAATAATTTTTAAATAAGATTATTTGGTAAACAACTAAAATTATTTATTAAAAAAATAAAATTTATAATTTATATTTTTAATTTTAGAATATATATCTCTAAATTGATTTGATTTTCAATTATAATTTAAATAATTTTAATATTTGAATAAATTTAAAATTATCTAATTTGTAATTAAAAAAAATATTTTATTATTTTAAAATCATTTAAGAGACTTGTCCACAAAAGTGCTTATCTGACAAACTTGTTTATACATATTGTTATATATATATATATATTTTAAATTCGATTTTCAGTTATAATTTGAATAAATTTAAAATTATCTGAATTAAATTAAAAATTATTTATTATTTTAAAAAAATTATTTTATGTATAATTTAAGAGATTTATTCACTTAAATGATAAAATTGTTTATGTATGTTGATATATAATATATATATATATATATATTTATATATTAGATTTCATTACTCTTCCGAAAGCCGCATTAAACTCGTTTGTCCGTCTCTCTTTTGTTTTTCACCCTTTCATTTCATTCCGGTTTCCTTCAGTGCAATCCATCTTCCCATCCCATCCCCATTTTCACCTTCTTCTTTCCCTTTATTTACATCTGTGCCACTTGTTCTACAACTGCATCGTCCTTTGATTTCTCACCATCTGATTATTCTTTCTAGGGTTTCCTTTACTTTGCTTTCTATCAAAATTTGAACTTTAAACATTTATTGATTTAATTTGTTATTGCTATACATATTAGAAAAAGACAAAGAAAAGCAGCAGGCAAATGGAATCGGAGGATGATATCGATATGCACGACGCCAACAACGAATCGGGGGAAGACGATTTCTACAGCGGCGGCGACGATGATGCTGGAGCCATGGCTGCTTACGATGATTCTGATGCCGATATCGCTGATTACGAGTTCATCGACAACGATTCTGATGATTCCGATGATCTTGTCTCTATTCGAAGCCAGGTAGTTGGCTTTTTTAATTTGGATTTTGCTTTATTTGCTTTGATTTTTCTTTTTCTTTTCCTTTTTTATAATTTAAAGCTCTCGTTACCGTGCCTTCTTTTTTAGTGTTAATATTGAGGATTATGTTGTCATTTGATCTTTATTTCAATAATATCTTTATGGGATAGTGCTTGCAAAGCTTTGATTATCATTAATATGTTTGATTTTAGTTTTGCTTTGCTTTTCAAATTTTACAATCTGCACAAGATTTTGAAGCTTTTTGGTTGATTGGGGGAATATGGTTTAATGTAAGTGGTGTCATTGCACGCTAAAAACTAGAAAGAATACGTTGCCTGTAAAGAAAAGGCTCTACACCAAAATCATTTTACTTCTGGATGGAACTTATATGGCATGATTTTTTTGGTACTTTTAGCTAATGTGTATTAGATAATTTTTCAGATAGAAGAAAAATTCCGGTACTTCTTCAAGTTGCTTTTACTCAAAAATTGAAAAGAACCTTTTCCCCGCGCCCCTCAAATTCATTGCACTGTTGGTAACATTTACAACTTTGTGGAATTGCATACCTAATGGAAAAACGCAACCATGCTGGGAGCAATTTTTTAGAGTTATGTATACAAGTTGAAATCAAACTTATCAACTGCTCATTACCTGCTTTTTTTGCTAAACTGGCTGATTAACTCTTTAACCTTTTTCTTTAATGGTATTTATGCGGCTCTATTGTCAGCACAAATGGGAATATACTTAACAGTCCGTAGTGAATGTCTGAAAAACCTTACCTTTTTCTAATGCTACATGGTTACTACTCACTGCACATATTGAAACTGGAACACCTTTTCTTCATGGATTTTATAATTATTGTGCTTTACAGAAGTCATAATTTCTTCTTTACACTTGCATTGTATGCATTCAGTTCTTTTGATATAGCACTGTTTATAAGCACTCATATAAGCTTATAACATTTCTCATCCTTGTGTGCATAAAAGTTTGCATTTTTTGAGCCCATGTTTTGCTAATAATTAAATTTGTTTTAGGCAGTTTGTTCTAAATCTGTGTCTCTTCTTTTCTTAGCAAAATTATACCATTTTGAGCGAAGTAGATATTCGTCACCGTCAAGAGGATGATATCATGAGGATATCTACTGTGCTTTCTATCTCAAAAGCTGAAGCTGGCATCCTGCTACGTTTCTATAGTTGGTGAGTGATCATAATTGTTATAAATTCTGTTTATTGAATGATTTTTTTTACTTTTGTTCCTTCTAAATTTTGTAGAGGTTTTTACTTACTTGAGGTTTATTTTTGATGGACTTTAACTGCAGCTATGTAATTGCAGAGTGAAAATTAGCATTTTGTCTTTCACTGTTTTGGTCAATATGCATCTATTTTTCAATATCTTGCCAATGATACATTTGTGTGCCTTAATGTTGTAAATAATTTATGTTTATTTTGGGCTTACAGGAGTGTCAGTAAAGTATATGATGAATGGTTTGCAGATGAAGAAATGGTTCGCCGGTCAGTTGGCTTATTGGAGAAGCCTGTGGTCCCATTTCCACATGGTAGAGAAGTAAGTGGTGCAATACTCAATTGAGAGTTTTGACATTTTTTCATGAGCTAGGAGTTCCAGTGCTTGTTTGCTAAGCAATCTGACGGCTTATTCCTTTTATTTTTCTTCACATCTCTTGTTTTGGCAGATGACTTGTGGAATATGTTTTGAAACCTATCCTTATAATCGGCTGCACACTGCTGCATGTGGTCATCCTTTCTGTAACTCTTGCTGGGCAGGTCTGTTGTGATACAGCCATGCTTTATGTTTTCATATTTTGGAACTTAGAAGTCTGATGTTTGTTTGGTTTTAATGTCTGTTATCCTTAGAGTGTCAATCTTTGGTCTTTTGTCGTTTAATTTTTTTTGGTGGCAAACAACAACATGCCTGTGCTGTGAATAATCTGAAGTTTTAGTAGCACTGCTTTCCAAACTGGTGGCATGATTGCTTCTTCCTGTCGGCATGCTTGAGGCCAGAGCTAAGTTACCAAATGGTACTAGTGAGGTCATCAATATCCTGCTCAGTAGATAAAGGAGAGGTTTATTTCTTGCGAAGTAAAAGGTTGAACCATCTATAGGACCACATGAAGCTACTTCAAGGTTCTGGGAGAAAAGAAGGCTTTATTTTATCTTCTTGTATTGGATGTTTTAGTTCACTTCTTATGTGTTTGATTCTCCTTGGTTTGACTAATTTGTTGATCGAGGAAAATTTCCTTTAGTTTGCATTTGGTGCATTCCCTTGTCATGATTCCAATGGAATGTGATTACTCGGAAGGTGATTGTTGGGAATTAAATTGCTAGGAATATAACATTACAACGTTTGGTATACATGAGAAAGTGTTGATTAAAATTTTGGGAAAGTGTTGTTTTACTTTCGCACAACATGGAAAGTAACTTTCCCATCCTCGCTAAGGGAATCGCATTACCATGTTTTGTGAGAATAAAATGCTCATGAGAAAGTTACATTCCCAGGAATGTAACATACCAAACATGGGAACCTGCGTCCTGCCAATTAAAATCCCAGGAATGTGAGCACATTCCACCATATCAAATGCCCCCTTATGTTTTTATCGTTGTTACGAGTTGGATGTAATTCTCAGTTCTGTGGTTTTTTTAGCTTGCTATGGACAGTTAAATTAGCAAAAGTATGGTCTGGAATGTTTTCTAGTTGGATGTAATTCTTAATTCTGTTGTTAGCATCTCTAAGATCTAGGTGTTGATGAAATTTGTCCAGCTGTTCCATCCATTCCAAAGCTAATTTCTTTGTTCCTTTTATCTCTTTTCTTTTTTTTTTTTTTTTTTTTGTTGTTGAGTGTGTGGGGCAGGGGGCAAAACTTACTCCATCTAAAGGTTTGGTTTCTGTCAGAGATTCTAGTTTAGGTGTTTGGCTGATGGAGTAGTTAAACATTTTGGTTGAATCTATCGATACCATTGTTTTGAGCCTCTCAAGATTTCCGGATTTTGGATCTGGGAAGTTGCTGAGGTAGATGGTGTCATGTGCAGTCCAGAACCTGTGTTCAAATGCTTAGAAAGTTCTCAGTTGCATGATAGAGGGCTTTTCTTGTCGATTTACTTGGTGCTTAATATGATAGTGGGAGTTGGTAACATGCTCCAAACAAGTGGACAGGGTTCCTTTGGTGCTTTTTTGTACGCGTAATGATTTTTTTTCCCTTTCCTGATCATTGCCTTTGCTTGGTACTGTTTGAATCATTCCCAGGAATGTGATGGTTGTCCTCAGGCAGTTTAATATGATAATGGCTATTTGATAATTGTCACGAGGAGCTTCTAAAATTAATTTGAAGAAAGATAGATAAAGCAGGCCCATTATCAATATTGCAACCATCTATATTTGTGCCATACTGATTTTGGGGGCGGGGGGTGCATGCATCTAGAACCTTTTTGGAAATTCGGTATCCACTGATATCATTAAGCTACTGGTTTTAGTTGCTCTTCTATCATGTAGATTTCATGCATGGCCAATGATCTTACAGAAAGGTGAAATAAGAAAGATCAACAATGTGTTGTTATTGTGCGGAAAGTATGGACTATTTCTTAGCACTGTATATAGGTTTATTCTCCACTAGATCCTTCCTGTTTCGGTTTTTAGTTTCAGAGATTTTTTTTTTTATCTGTGTTAGATTGGGAAGCTTTTATGTGAAAGCATGGAGTACACACGTTTAAGACTGGCTGGCAAGGGGTAAAGGGCTTATTGTCTGAGAATAATTCTTTGTCTTTTTTATTCTGATTATGATGAATAATCCATATTGTGGAATTCATACATGTCATTCGATTGACCCATGATCTCATATTAGCTTAGAGTTACGACTCCTACCTACTACTAGACAAGAAGGCATTAGTTGAGCAAGAAGGTTAACTCTTTAGAGCTCGAGAAGTTATATTCGAGGAGGGAGTGGTGACCACTCTAAATGACCTAATATCACTACTCACACGTTACCGACTGACATCGACTCCTTATTGGGTATGTTCTCTTCTACGAAAGTTCGATGTTCCCACAACTGTCGACAAGAATGAAGGTCGTGAAGCGTCACTCTCCGTTTTGCTGCATGATTATAAAGTCATTCACTTGATGACGGAAATGGGCTATGACCCTTTCAAAGGTGAAGGGCTGTGTAGAGGAAGGGGTGAGAAAAAACCATTTGAACACATGTTAACCCTATAACAAAAATGGGTCTTGCATCATGATGGAGAACTCAAATCCGGAACTCGCGGTTTGGGTTATCAAGCAAGCGTTCACATGGTAGCAATTCAAGAAGGCAGCTCGTCGGAAAAATATCCTAAATCTCATGAACTAATAGAAATTCAGTCTGCTCCCCCGCAACTAGAAGACGGTGGTCAAGCAACGGTCGACGAGCTGGTGGAAATAAATCTTGGCACAAGTGAAGAACCAAGGCCTGTGTTCATCAGTGCTAACCTATCTGAAGATGAAAGGGAACAATAGAAAGAGTTATTGATGCAAAATAGTTAGGTTTGGATATCTTTAGTTAAGTCTTGTATCTTTTATCATTCTTGTTATCATGATATGGTTTTTAACTGTCATTATCATTAGTTGAGGAAGTCTCTTATTCCTGACTGTCTACCTTTAAGGGAAGGAATAGAGTAGGGACTTCACCTTTTCTAGTGAAGGTTTTATTAGAGGGAGTGAGTGGGCCATTGGAGGATGGCATAGGAGGGAGATAGGAAAGATGTTAGAGAGACTCGTACTCGTTTCGATTTGAGTTTGTATTTGAGAACTAGTTAAGGAAAAGGTTTGGGATATCTGTGTTGAATACCGGTCTGTGTTATCATCGTTGTTAGCATGAGATTGGGTTTTTCACTTATCAGAAGTGGAAAGTAGAGGAAGTGAGAGTGCCATGTGAATATGGCACTTGAACAAGGAAGAGCAGTGGAGAGTGTGGAAACTGAATGTATATTGAAAAACTGCTTATATGAATTATACAAGAATCTTAGGTTTATATACAACTAACTAGGGGTTAAACTAGGAAACTAAATCTTCCTTAATTCTAGGGATACAAATACTTAATTCTAGAGATACAAATATAAATATACAGATTACAAGATTACAACCAGCTGTAAATAAGTGTTTTCCCACACTCCCCCTCAAGCTGGTGAATAGGTGTTTTCAATTCCCAGCTTGGAAATAATTCCTTGAAATGTTGCACTGCTGAGACCTTTAGTCAACACATCTGCAAGTTGACCCTTGGTTGATACATAAGGTGTACAAATCAACTCACTGTCTAGTTTCTCCTTTATGAAATGCCGGTCTACTTCAATGTGTTTTGTTCTGTCATGTTGTACAGGATTGTGAGCAATGCTTATTGCAGACTTGTTATCACAGTAGAGTCTCATTGGTCCATCCCACTTGATCTTCAAGTCTTCTAAGATAATCTTTAACCATAGTAGTTCACAAATCCCTTGAGCCATTGCTCTGAACTCTGCTTCAGCACTTGATCTTGCCACCACATTCTGTTTTTTACTCCTCCCAAGTCACAAGATTACCACCTAAGAAAGTACAATAGCCTGAGGTGGATCTTCTATCAGTTACTGAACCTGCATAATCAGCATCTGTATATGCTTCTAGAACTAACCCCGAATTTCTTTTGAATAAGATACCTCTCCCAGGATTGGCCTTCAAATAGTGCAATATACGGTAGACAGCCTGTAGGTGCACTTCTTTAGGACTATGCATAAATTGACTTACCACACTCACAGCATATGCTATATCAGGTCTAGTATGTGAGAGATAAATGAGTCTTCCAACTAATCTTTGGTACATCTCTCTATTTACAGCAGCATCTTCATTAGCTTCTCCAATTTTATGATTAGGATCCATAGGGGTATTTGCAGGTTTACATGCAAGCTTCCCAGTTTCCTTCAAAAGATCCATCACATATTTCTGTTGTGAGATAAAAATACCATGCCGTGAGTGAGCTACTTCAATTCCTAGGAAGTACTTCAATCTCCCTAGCTCTTTTATCTCATTCTCTAGCCAAACACTGTTTTAGAGATTCTCTCTCTTTTTCATCATCTCCAGTTACAATTATATCATCAACATACACTAATAGAACTGTGACTCTCCCTGAATCAGAGTGCTTGATAAACAATGTGTGATCTCCTTGACTCTGTTTATATCCCATTACTAGCATCACTTTGGCAAATCTCCCGAACCAAGCTCTAGGAGACTGTTTAAGGCCATATAAAGCCTTTTTTAGCCTGCATACTTTGTTTGCTTCTAGATGACCTTCAAATCCCGGTGGAACCTTCGTATATATTTCTTCTTCCAAATCACCGTGTAGAAAAGCATTCTTTACATCAAATTGTTGAAGCTGCCAATTGTAATTTGCAGCCAATGATAACAAAATCCTAACTGTATTCATCTTGGCAACTGGAGCAAAGGTTTCCTGGTAATCCACTCCATAGGTTTGAGTGTAGCCCTTAGCCACTAACCTGGCTTTATACCTTTCAACAGTACCATCTGCCTTGTATTTTACGGTGAAAACCCATTTACACCCCACTGAATTTTTTCCTTTAGGCAACTCTACCAGTTCCCATGTCTGATTTTTCTCTAAGGCCTCCATTTCTATTTTCATGGCTTGCCTCCATTTCTCATTGGATAATGCCTCGGATAATGTAGTTGGAACAAAAATAGTGTTTAGGCTCACAAGAAAATTTTTGTGGGATGGTGAGAATTTTTCAAATGACACAAAATTAGATATTGGGTATAGTGGATGCTTGGTACATTCTCTGGTTCCTTCCTAATGGCAATAGGCAAATCATAATCACTGGTTATAGTTTTAGGAGATTCATGCTCATTTTGAGAAACAGAGTCAAAAACTGTAGTTACCTCATTTCCAGAGTTAGGATCAGGTTCTTGGACTGGCACTGGTTCAGGATCTGGAACTTTCCTTCTTGAGTACACCTGTAATTCCTTCATAGAATCAAGAATAATATTATCCTTTGTCACATCTTTTGTATTTGGAATGGGTTCAGACTCAAATTCAGTGTTTGACTTGGGCTCAGCAGAAACAGATTTCGACTCAGAAGAATTAATGGGTGTAAATGTTGAAGAAGGGGGCAAATCAAGCAAAAAGAAGTCTTTATCCTTATCTTCCATGAATGAAGTCTCCCCCTGAAGATAAGGTTGAGTAAAAAATGGTTTATTTTCTTCAAAAGTGACATCTGCAGACACATAGAATTTTTTGGTAGGAGGATGATAGCACTTATATCCTTTTTGAGTTGAAGAATACCCCACAAAAATACACTTAATCGCTCTTGGATCCAACTTTCCCCTGTTATGACTGTGAACATGAACAAATGATGTACAACCAAATATCCTAGGTGTGAGATTGTTTGTGGTATTGAGGTTGGGATAAAATTGTGAGAGTAGTTCCATAGGAGTTTTAAATCCCAAAACTTTTGAAGGTAACCTATTTATAATGTATGTGGCAGTGAGAACAGCTTCCCCCCAATAAGATTTAGGTACATTTGCTTGAAAAAGAAAGGCTCGGGTTGTGGCTAGTAAATGACTGTTTTTCCTCTCTGCCACTCCATTCTGCTGTGGAGTATTAACACAAGATGACTCATGGATAATCCCCTCTTTTTGAAAATAGGTGGATAGACTATGGTTGAAGTAGTCTCTTGCATTATCAGACCTAAATCTCTTGATTCTCACTCCAAATTGATTTTGGATCATGTTTTGGAAGCTTAAAAACACACTATTCACATCTGATTTGGATTTAAGTAAAAAAACCCAAGAGACCCTAGTACAATCATCTATGAATGAAACAAACCATCTCGCACCAGAAATATTAGAATTGTAGAGGGACCCCAAATGTCACTATGAATCAAGTAAAAGGGAGTGAACTTCTTTTGTTACTGATTGGAAAAGACACACGTCTATGTTTTGCAAATTCACAAATATCACAATGAAAATCTTCAACATTTAATCCTTTGAACAAAGAAGGAAACATGTTTCTCAAGGTTCCAAAAGAAGGATGTCCAAGACGAAAATGATAAAGCAAATTTTGTCTTTATTGGAAGATTTTTCAGAAAGAAATGACAAAGGTAAACTATTTTGATACTACTTGTGCTATTTGATGTCTCAAGATAGTATAGTCCATCTTTCTCCTTAGCAAGTCCAATCATCTTCCCCGAACTCTAGTCCTGAAATTCACAATAAGAGGGATAAAAAGTTACTTTGCAATTCATATCTCTGGTAAGTTTTTGTATAGATATCAGATTAATAGATAATCCAAGAACATGAAGAACATTTTTTAGAACAAACGAGGGATTAACTTGAACATCTCCTAATCCTGCCACTGTGGTAAGTGAACCATCAGCAACAACAATTTTCTTATTACTAGGACACAGGTTATATGTACTAAACTTTTGTGAAGAATGTGTCATGTGGTCTGTGGCTCCTGAGTCAATGACCCAAGAACTCGTAATAGGCTTAGCCGAGACATTTAATCCATGAGAACCAGAAGCTTTACCTGAACTAGAAACTTTACCCAAAGAACATACCATAGTAGGCTTTTCAAGGATTTTCAATAAGTTTCTCAGCTTTTCAATCTCTTCCCTGTTGAACTCTCCTTGTTTCTGAGACATCTGTAGTACTCTAGTGATTTTCCCAATTAACATTTTCTCAAATTGAGTGGTAGTGATATCTTTCCTTTGAAAGGGTTCGGCAATGAAGGCCTAAACAGGATTCGGCAATGAAGGCCTAAAAAAGTCAGCAATGAAGGCTGAAAATTTTGCTTCCCAAGAAGAGCCTAAAGCTCTGATACCATGTGGAAACTGAATGTATATTGAAAAACTGCTTATATGAATTATACAAGAATCTTAGGTTTATATACAACTAACTAGGGGTTAAACTAGGAAACTAAATCTTCCTTAATTCTAGGGATACAAATACTTAATTCTAGAGATACAAATATAAATATACAGATTACAAGATTACAACCAGCTGTAAATAAGTGTTTTCCCACAGAGAGAGTGGGCGATAGGTATTGCACACAATAGGAACGGCTAGCTCACTAATAGATCAATACAATATCTAGCTTTTCCTCTATTTCTATCGTTTTGGATATTAGTATTGAAGTGTAGTATCTGTCATCATTCTTGTATTGATGATATGGTTTTTCACTTTCATGTACGAAGGAGTGAGGGGGCAATCAGTATTGTACCCAAGCAAGGAAGTCTATTGTAAAGGTGTGTGAGTGGGTAGTGGGTATTGTCCACGAAACGCATTCCATTGCAATGTAGAGAGTGAGCCATTCCTTGGATTATGGCACAGGATCATAACGGCTAAGTGATTGAGCTAGAAACAATTGATCTAGCTTTAGAGTTGAGTTTGTCTTAGGAGATTCCTGGTTTACTCAAGTTTCTTTCAGCAGTCTTGTGTGCTCAAAAACTGGTATAACTTTCTCGTAACTCATACTCTTCGGTCGAACTAGCAGCTCAGTGTTGGCCTTGTACATGTAAATTCTTTTTTACATGGTTATCAACATCGTACTTCGGTTGCATGTGTTTTTAGCTCTATAGTAGAACTGTTGATACTTTAGCTACTCTAGCGGGATTTTGTTAACCTGGCAAAGAAATGACTTTCATCATCATAATTTTTCCCTGTCTTAGAGTTTATATGTAACTATTTGAAGTTCTGCGTTTACCAACCTTTCCATGTTTTGTTGTGAAATTTTCTTATGCAGTTGTAATAATTTATTTTCTTGCTTAGGCTATATTAGCACAGCCATCAATTATGGTCCTGGATGTTTGATCTTGAGTTGTCCTGATCCACCCTGTGCTGCTGCTGTTGGTCAAGATATGATAAATGCATTGGCTTCTGATGAAGATAGAGAGAAGTACTTGCGTTATTTCATTAGATCTTATGTTGAAGACAATAGGAAGGTAATAATACTTAAAAACATTTTGAGTAATTGGTCAATTTTACATAACATTTCATGTGTGCATTTATTTTTCTCTCCTGTGTAATTGCATCCTTTTATATATTTCTTTATATTCTTTTTAATGTATTTATTTGGGTTGAAGGATGGGGATGCCACTGCATGGGTAGTGGAGTTGTAAGGTTGCGGATTGTGCTTTTCAGTTGCCTTATGGTTAGTATCTAAACAGGGATGAATTGAAAATTGGTTCTACCTTTTAGCAGTTTTGCATGAAAAAGATATTAACCACACTTGTATCATATTTGTGCTCTGGCTAATTTATCAAAATAAAAACATATTTGTCTTCTGGCTTATATTTTTTTGCCAATTTCTGGCTTATTGATTTTAAAATTCTTTTCTTCCAATGTTATTGAAGTTTGCCACATGCTTTTGAATCAAAAGATGAAATTTTGTGTAATAACGAATATGTTGCTCATTTGATGTGTCTTTGTTAAAGGCGCATGAAAAATTTGTTAATATGTTTGTCTTGACTGTAGCCTCATAAATGGGTTTTCCTCAAGTTTGTCATGGATTAGACCCATTAATCTATTGTTTCAATATATATATATATATATATATATTTATTTATTTATTACTGCAGTGTATATACTCAGCACCAGAATCACTAAAATAGAGGCATACCTTTTTCATTAGTTCATTTTCATCTCTTTGGTATTTTAACACATTTTCTATGTTTGTGTTATTTGCAGACCACATGGTGTCCTGCACCTGGGTGCGATTTTGCTGTGGACTTTATTTTAGGCTGTGGAAATTATGATGTTACCTGTCGCTGCTCATATAGCTTTTGCTGGAATGTAAGACCCTATGGCATCTTTTCTGGTTGTAGTACTTTTAACAATTAATGCATATGGCTTTCTTCTTCATTCTTTTTTACTTTTAAAATTGCAAACATGAAAATGTGATCCATAATGTGCATTTAACGTTACAGTGCACTGAGGAAGCTCACCGTCCTGTTGATTGTGGCAATGTAGCAAAGTGGATACTGAAAAACATCGCAGAGTCTGAAACTATGAAATGGTAAGGAACATTATTGTAGTAATTAGATTTATTCTAATACAGGAGGTTGTTTAATTTGTACAAAAATTTAGGTTGTTAAATTGGTGCAAAATGGCACACCTAAAAAGGCAATTTTCTTACTCTCCCTTATCATCTGTGCTAAGCTTCAGTGTGAATGAGTGCGTCTTGAAATGTACATACTGTTTGTAGAATGCATCCTTTTCTGAATATCACTTATGTTGATCACTGGGGCGCTGGGGCACTGGGGAAAGCTTGTCAAGATTCAGTCCTTCCAACCATAAATTGTAGTTCTGAACATCAGAAAAAGAGAGAAAGGGATGATTGGGGCTGGGTTGGAGGGCATTATGGGGGGTCAGATGATCCCTTAGAGGGTTGTGGAAAAGTATAGGTTCTCATTTATGCTTTATGCATTGAACTACTTTTGCTACTACATGATGTAGTGAAATAAGTGTTCCCTTCTTTATACATCTATTACCAATGTGCCAATTTTGTATTCCTAAATACGTATCATTTAACTTTCTTCCAAATGTGCAAACACTTAAAGTGAATGAACTAAATAGCTAGTTTGAAATTTTTGTTTTTAAAATGGAGTTTCCTTTTTTTTTTCCCTTTCTACCATTGGGCTTGTATTTGACTAAATATCAGGAATGTCCAATTACTAAATAGTTGTTCAGCAGTATATATTATTCCATGCTATATTTTCATAATAGTCTGTTTCTCAATCAATATGCCCATTTCATCTTCAGGATATTGGGTAATTCCAAGCCTTGTCCAAAATGCAAGCGCCCAATTGAGAAGAACCAGGGGTGTATGCATATTACATGCACACCACCCTGTAAATTTGAATTTTGCTGGTGAGCTTACACTCCATTGCTTGTATTTTATGAGACTTTGACCTCACTAACTTATTTGGGTTTTTTTCCCCCCTTCTAATTGGAAAACAATATAAATAATTCTCCCATTAATTTGTATGAGTTAAAGTTTTCTATTGTTTCTTTAGCTATTATGTCTACTGAACAAGTGAGTATTTTTTCCAAAATGAAGGGTTTACTGAAAAGATTTTGTACTAAAAACAAATTGATTTTTTTAACTTTTTCTGTATGCGAAGTGTTTTGTTTCTCTTCTTTTTATAAAATGTCTGTCAGTTGACCAGAGATGTATGCAGGCTTTGCCTTGGTGCATGGTCAGAGCATGGTGAGAGAACTGGTGGTTTTTATGCTTGCAATCATTATGAGACAGCAAAGCAAGAGGGTGTGGTATGAAACTAATTCGTTAGTCTGACAATCAGCATTAAGTCATTTTGCATCATCATTTAACTGCCCACTTTGTCTTTCTGATCCATCCTATCTATTTACAGTATGATGAGGCTGAGAAACGAAGAGAGATGGCTAAAAATTCTCTAGAGAGATATACTCATTATTATGAACGATGGGCAACCAACCAATCGGTATGTATTAGTTTGCCAGATTTATAGTGAAACTGACATGATGCTTGTCACTGTTATTGATGTCCTGAATAACAAGTTGGCGGTATAAAGATTCTTTGATCTTCTATTGTACCCTATAAAGTTCATGGCATTAAATTGTATTATTAAATAAGGATTATTTCCTCCCTCCCTGCTTATTGTGAGTTGATTTGTTTGTTATTGATTAGTGATTTATTTGGAAAGTGCTATGATTAGAATTGCTTGACATTCTGCTCTTTTTCCTTTTTAACTGTAGTTTTCTTGAACCTGCTTTCTATGGTGCCATTTGGCATAGCAGGGCCACCCTGAAGTTCTGATTGCTCACTGGAATTTTAAACGGGACCTAAATGAAAGTTAGGCCGGTGAGCTGAACATTATTGATATAGATTATGGATTTTAGATGGACATAGGTAGGATTTGGAGGTGTGTTATGAAGGTTGGATGAAAGCCTGGCCAGTCAATATTTTCAAGATATGCAACTTATTTATCTATTAGTTTTTGGAGCCGCAGGGTGGAGAGAAACAGTCATAAAATGTACTTCTTTTCAATTTAAAATTGCATTTTGGAGAGGTCAAAACTTTAGAGAGTCCAGTGAGACATTCTCATGCAGAAAACATCAACAATATTGATGTTGATACTAACCGTGCAATGAACTGGATTATAGATACCATAACCACCTTTCTTGATTCCATTGTGGCAATGCTTTTATTCTTGTCAATAGCCTGAGGTACCTAAGAAGGCCCCAAGGCTTGTTGTTTGGTTGCATGCTGTTTTAACAACTTTCTTTTTTTTCTTTTTTAGCCTAGTTAAGGAAGGCTAATCTTTGCTAGCCCTGGTTATAGGGCTGGCAGTTCGTGTTAGCAAGTAGTCATAATGTCATATAAAGGTATCTCATAAATGGATAGATGTGATTAATTATCATGAAACTTTATTTCACAAATTACACAGCATGACATGGTTAAAAAGGTTAATCTGCTTAGACATGACAAGATTAATCAATTTAGACACAATTAACCCATTTAAACACAAATAAGTTATTTTATATTTTTTTCAATATTAATAATTCAATAAATGAGTTTAAAACGGGTTAGATATGTTGAATCATGTGAGTTAAAGTATTAATACAATTAACTGAATGTGTATAAACATGTGATATGCGTGTTAGGCGTATCTACTCACATGACTTGAATTTTTTTTTTTTTTGGTCATAAAGGAATTGATATGATTATACAAAATCCAAACCAGCTTAACTGTTTTGTGTTAGTGCATTGTGTCCAAAATTTCTAGGTCTACCTGGCTAGTATTAGGTGTTTACAAGCTAGGAATATTCCATCATAAAGCCTCATATCGAAATCTACAGTAGAGGCTGTTGTTTTTGCTATACTATCCTAAGAGAGTAGTGGGATGTGCTAGGACTCAGTTGAAGTTGTGCTCAAGGAGGGTGCTTTGGGTTGAGAGTTATATTGATAAAACTAGAAGGAGAGTAAAGAGATGTTAGTAGCTTCCCTTCATGGAAGCGAGGATACTTTCTGCAAGGAATTTAGATGGTCTTCTTTATATAGAAATAGTTCTTGTACGGATAAAATATGTGATATAGAGGTAGAAGAAAATCTTACAACAGTTCTTACAGGGATAAAATATGTGATCTAGAGGTAGAAGAAAATCTTACAAACAGCTTGAAAGTGATAATTTACTTTCATTTAAGTGTGACCACTTGTTAGTAATGTTGTGTATTGTTTAGTGATTTTACAGATTACTGCAAACTAAGGGAGAGAGGACTTTTGGTTTCAGTGTCATCTTATCGTGTATGATAATTCTGCTTCTGCAAAATGTCGTTTCTTGAGAAAACATGTGCATCATTCATTGTGCACATGCAGGCATCTTTGCTTTGTTTGAACTGATTTGCTTAGTTCACCATATTTTGCTGAAGCATCTTCTGCTACATTTTTGTTTAAATACCTATTGTTTGCTTGATTAATTAGCTCTTTAGTTGGCAGAAACAACTATATACGGGCTTGAATTCATGCAATACATTATTGACTCATTTCTTTTTACTGCTTAAATGTATTTTCTGAGAATACTTTCTGGATGAATAGCCAAAAACATTTGCCATTTCTTAAAACTTTTCTTCACTTCGTGCAGTCTAGGCAAAAGGCAATGGCAGATCTACAGCAAATGCAATCTGTGCATGTAAGCCGAACTTCTTAAAATTATTGACTTCCTATTTAATGATGCTGCTCTAGTCAATTATTTTACTACCATTTATTGTGGATGTCATGAAGATAGTGTTTGAAGTCTATGAAAAACTTTGGATAAGTTTATAATTGATTACTGCTAGTTCATGATATATACTTATGCTTTTCATCTGATTTAATATGTTTCTTCCAAAATTCTCATGATATAGCAGCTATGCACTTCTATTGCCTAGGGACTGGTATCATAACAGAAAAGATATACAGATTAAAAACAAAAATAACTAATGATGGTGAATGAGGAATCCTACTCTATGATTGTCTCGACTGTAATTTATCTGCTTAAACAAGTAATGTTTGGGTTAATTTATCTAAATCTCTTGGATATGCAAAGTGTTGCAATAGCACTCATCTAGTACCAAAATCTCAAGACCAGCATACCTGATGAAAATTTTATTGGGATATTTAAAGGCTTTCCTTGTAAACATGAGGTTACTATCTTGCAGTATTTTTGTCTTTGGGTAATAAGGTTTCTGTTGTTGTTGAATCATTTCATGGTTTAAGGTGAGAAATTCGTTAAAATCACAAATTTCCTCCTTCACAAATATTAAAAATACCAAATAATAATTGTGATAATAAATGAAGAGAGGGAAGAGAAGGGAGAGGTGAAGAGAGAGAGAGAGAGAGAGAGAGAGAGAGAGAGAGGAAGTAAGATGAATAATTTTGTTCTCTCCCACTAGATAGTGTTTTATCTTTGCTTGAGACTATCATTTGTTTATTAGTTTATGGAGAGTGCTGATGATTATGTATCAATGTAGCTTGAGAAGCTGAGTGACATACAGTGTCAAACTGAGTCACAGCTAAAATTCATCACTGAGGCATGGTTACAGGTAAATTCCAAAATTTGTTTTGGTCACTAGCTATGTACTGCTTTAGCTCATCACGGCTGCTATACTTGTGTAGATAGTAGAATGTAGGAGAGTTCTAAAATGGACATATGCCTATGGATATTATTTACCAGAACATGAACATGCTAAAAGACAGTTCTTTGAATACTTGCAAGGTAATGTCTCTCCATCTATAAGATATGGCTTTTATACTCCTGTTCACTTTGCAGTAGTCGTGCCATTTATGTCTTGCAGGTGAGGCTGAGTCTGGGTTAGAACGACTTCATCAATGTGCAGAGAAGGAGCTGCAGGTTTACCTCAATGCAGAAGGCCCATCAAAAGATTTTAATGAGTTTCGGACAAAACTTGCTGGATTGACGAGGTATGTTTTATTTAAAATATATGTATGATCTAAATTCTTTGTGAAACACAATATGAGTTAGAATTTGATAATCTTAACATGAAGTTTTATTAATGAGATTGTCAGTTAAAACTCAAAACCTTGGTTTGTGGGGAAAGAATCTTATTGTGTTGGAAGGAGATGATTTTCTTTTAATTTAACCTTTTAGATTAGTGTTTTCTCCTATCCTTTGCTTTTTCAAAGACTTGGCATGGCATCTTTTATCTGATTAATTACTTATAGTAACTTCATGACAACAGTGTGACACGAAATTACTTTGAGAATTTAGTTCGAGCTCTAGAAAATGGTCTATCAGATGTAGACACTCATGGGGCCTGCAGCAGGATGGGCAGCTCAAAGAGCGTGGGAGGTAGTAGCAGTAGAGGAAGAAGTGGGAAGGGCAAAGGGTCTACCTCCAGATCCAGCGGCTCTAGCAGAAATATTGACAATTCTGATCATTGGTCCTGCGAATATTGCACCTTTGCAAATGACAAGTCAGCCACCATTTGCCAAATGTGCACCAAATAATCTGCCTGGATGGGCAAATATTGGCTTTGCATCTTGATGTCTGGTTGCCGTGGCATGGGCCTGTAGAGCATTGCCAAAGGGAGAAAAAAAGGTTTTCCATTGCTCTTTCCATTTCTTAAAATCTAGTTTGCCATGATACAGCACATCAGCATTGAGAAACTGATGTTGGGAGAAGGCAGAAAGATGATTGTATGTTTATGTTGTTGCCATATGAGCTGTTGTATATAGTTCTTCTCTCTAGCTCCAACCTTTCGACTTGACTTGTTCCATTGTGGCAGCAGTCTTTCCAATGTATTCATATGTAATTTCAACGGTTATAATTTTATGCAAAAAATAGATTTGTAGCAAACTGGAGTCTTTCAGGTGGATTTCAATGAAACTGCTTGCAGCTGATAGGCTGCACGTATGCAGTAATAAATAAAATTATTGTAACCTTTTGGTTAAAATAACAAAAGCTCTTGAAATTTATAATTTTATTTAAATAAATTTTTATAGTTTTATTATACAAATAAATATTTTATTTTTAATTTATATCTAAATAAATTTGTAACTTTTAATTTATATTCAAATAAATTTTTAATCTATAATTTATACTTAAATAAATTTTTAATATAAATTAATTTTTATTTGAAATAAATGCTTGATGTAAATAAAAAATGAAGTGCAATAAAAATATAAATATTTATTTAAAAATAAAGTAATTCTAGAAAATTTTAGTATTTTAACCTGATTTTTTTTTTTTTAGCTGGGCACCAAATTTCTTGGGTGCTTGTGTGTACGTGTGCATAATTGGTCATATTATTGTGGTCAAGTTATGTCAAATGCATTTTGCGAAAATTTAAAATTTAATAATTTATATAAATTTTATTTTTATATTATTTTAATTTGATAATTTTAATTTAATCAGTAACTTCATTTATTTTTTATCTTTAAAGATGTGGACATGACCATTAACTTGATGACATAGGTGTTGATTTTACATACATGATTTTGACTTGATGTAGTAACTTGTATGGTTGAAATCATTAGTTAAATTACGCAAATAATCTTGTACTAACATAAAATTTGAAATTTCATTATTGTACTCGCACAATACTTGAAATTTAATTCTTTTAATATATAAAATATTTTATTTTTTTACAAAATATTTTTTTTAAATTTTAAAAATATTCTAATCCCTTTAATATAAAATACTTTTAGAAATATATTTGTTATTATATAATTAATTATTAATAATATCATATTAATAATATTATTATTATCATTTATATTAATCATTAATAATTTAAATTAATGTATCGAAGTTAATATTATTGTAATTAATTTAAATATATCATATCACAAAATTTATGACAAACCAAATTAATAGAGCTACATTTGTAATGACCCAAAATAGATTATGAATGGAATGACTATTTCATCCAACCAAATAAAACTAAGAGATTTAAATATAAATTTTTACGTGAGACGAGCTTTTATCTATTTGAAGGATGAATTTTGAATCATAACAAAATGAAAAGAAAAAATGATTTATTTGATAAATTGAAACATCAACTTATGTATAATAATGAGGACTTTTAACAATTTGTGTTTTCGCAAAATGAACTTAGCTAAATAATTATGTTAAATTAAATAATAAGGTTAATTTTAAAACCAATACACAATGAGTTTAATAAATTATTTTAATATATTTAAAATCTTGAATGTAGATTTGATTATAAAAAATCATTTAAACATGATTTAATGTAAAGGAATCGAAACACTGTTTGATGGATAATTTTATTCTTATAGGATAAAAAAATAATTCTAATTCATTTAATAAATTAATAAAAAATAACAATTTTATTAAAATTAGATAGTAATAAATTTGTATAATATATTGATTAATTTGTGATAGATTTTAATTTTTGTAAGATATTTTTCATATAGCTACACTATATTACAATTATGACAAAAAATGTAATAAAATTAGTAATAGATTTTATATTTTATGATGGAATGTAATAAGTAAAAATGACAGAATTAGTTGTAGAATTTCACGAGTTATAAAAAATTATGATACATTTAATGACAATATATGAAAATTATGATAGAATATTGCGATAGATTTTTCAATATCAAGATAGAATATTGTGTCAAAATATTGTTACAATTTTTAAAGTTTAATATTTATAAAAAATAAAAATTCTAAAAAATTTTAAAATATTTTTTATACTAGATGGACTGAATTTCAAACTTTGTGAGAATATAAGGGCTAAACTTTAAATTTATACCAGTGAATGGATTAAATTTTAAATTTTATATAAATATAGGAATCATTTACATTAATTTAATAAATGATTTTCATTTATCCTAATAGACATGTTAGCAAGTCACTACCATGTCATCAAATTAATAGCCACATCAACATTTTTAATAGAAAAAAGTTGATAAAGTAATTGGATTAAAATTATCAAATCAAAATACTATAAAAATTAAATTTATATGAATTATAATACAAAAATAAAATTTCAAATTTTTACAAAATATTAAAATTTCTCACATAATTTGACTTATTTTTGGCTTTCATACTGAGAGATTAGCAAAATTTTTTTTTAATTGTTATATTTTTCTTTGGTAATGTAAAGAAAGTCCACAGACTGGCTGTTGGTTGTGTCAATATTATAAATCATTTGAATACATCTAGGAGAATTAAACATTAGGGTGGTAGAATAAGAATAATAGTTGATTATTGCCATAGTAAAAAATATTTAATTAAAATGAAAATGTTAATTTGAATCGTTTTTTATTATTTTGACCATAATACTTAAACTACCAAGTTCCATAGATTATGAAAATCTACATGTAGGCTCAAGAATATGTACATTTTGTTGAAATCTTATGCACAATGAACTTAGCTTATATATACATTTAAAAGAAAAAAAGTTTACTTGGGAAAACTTTTTATTATAAGTGTGGAGGATTTTTTACATGATTTTGAATCCTATTTTGAAATATAAGATTGTTAACTGTAAATCTAACCCTAAAAGAAATTAAAAAAAATAATTGATTCTGTCACCAAATATATGAGGTTTTGAATGTATATAAAATTAAAACACGTGCATTTAATGGGAAAATGTATACAATAAATTCAGATTAAATGTACATTAATAAAACTTAATAAAGAATTTCTAAAAATGTAAACATTGGTATAAAAGTATAAAATCTTTTGTTTAAATTCTTATTAAAAAGGAATTAAATAGTTAAAACTTACATGGACTTATATTGAGAAGTACCTTATATTGTAAAATATATAACTATAAAAACAATTAAAACTATCCTCAATCTATTCTTTTTTAATTGCTTTGATTTACTAAGCATCTCTTTTATGTCATATAAAAAATTGAAGGGCAAATTTCGGAAAAGCTCAAGAGATAAAAATATGAGTAGAAAATTTTAGAGATGGCAAGCAAAAGAGTTATGGAACAGACTATGAAAAAGGAAAAAAAAAAGTAACGAGTAAGAAAGGAGAGTGAAAAAGGAAATTGTCGCAAGTGAAGAAATTTTTATGAAGAAAAAAAAATCATAAAGTTGTTGGAAAGTGGGGAACGAAAAATTTGAAGATAAAATGGAAGCAAAAAGGAGTAAGAATAAAAAAAAGTATAAGAGAGAACATGGTGAAGAGGGATATAGGGAAAAGTTTGAAACTTGTGGCTGCAAAGGTGGACAAATAACAAGAGATTTTGAAGGAAAATAAAAGAAAATGGGAAAAAAGATCTCAAGTGATTTAGGTCTCCTTTAGCATATTTGGTTCGTTTGATGAATTATCATTTTTAATCTATGTTGGATTCATATTTTTTTTTCCTTTGATGATTGAGAAATAGACTAAATGTGATGCAGTCTCGATAAAACAACATGCCTTGACATGCATGTTTCTTAACAATGGTTTGGTGGGATATATAAAATATTAATAGTTGAACTATCATTATTTTCTTTTGATATTTAAAAATTTATCACCAAACTTATTGGGAAGGCAATAAAATTTTATTTGTCTCTTGAATCTAATGCTTCTTACAAATTTGCATTTAAAGTTATCAAAGCAACATATCATTAGGTATATAAAGGTGTCAAAGAATAATTAGTACTTGAAGGTAAGCTAAAAACTTTTATTGAGATTAGGCATAATGGATGTTGATTTATATGTTGTGTTCAAATTATTTAAACAATTAAATTATTCTTAGTTTAGAGATTTGTTTATGTTTTCATATGTTGTAGGTATTTAAAATGCCATATTGAAAGGTTTAGATAAGGTAAAGTATTGCTTTATTTTCTTCACATTCTATTGGTATTTATAGAACTCTCAATTTCTCGTAAAAAGGTTTTAATTAGAGAAAAATAACTATAAGAGTATTCCCATTAATAATATAGGAGAAAATAAAATAAATTAAGAGATTGTTTTATGAATTTTTCGTAATTTTACTTTTTTTTGAATTTTTTTCTCTTTGGTTAAATGTTTAGAAGTAGTATGAAACCATCTATTCATGTCATTAGATTCTCACATTTGAAGTATTAGTTTGGTTGGTTTCAAAAATACTTAAGCTGTCCATATAGCTATTGAAGTTAATTATGTATTATTATTAGAGTTAAAACAGCAAGATTTTTAAAAATTTTAAATCCTTTAAGCCAAAATCCACTAATAAAATTATACAAATAACATACATATACAAGCATGCACAGTTTTGGCTAAACGTGTTACTGAAAATGCCTTAGTTCAATTTAGTAATCTTCTAGATAGATTCCATGTCAAGAAGCTATCCAAGTGTTCGATCTTTAGTGGTGATCAACACGAACTCTTGTAAAATAACTTTCTTTAAGGTTTGGTGAAGTCAAAGTCACATTATAGCTAGTAAGTGGTTTCAAGACCTCTTATATTTTCTTGAGTAAAACTTTTTTTTCTTATTACTTTTTCTTCATACAATAGGGGCTAGCTTGATGTTCCTTTTATAGGGCAAGCATTCGAC